CAATTTTTACGGCCTGAGGCAAAGCACATTTCAACGATACTCTCATACCCGATAGAAATTATAAACATTTATGGTCACTCTATCTTTCAATTAGATTTATCCAAAGCACATTTTCACTAGCAATTATTCGAATATTAACGGAGTTTCGTCGTACGCGATAACACACACCTATGCAGAAAAAAATCACCTCGGTATCTATTTCCAATATTGAGATCCTTGGGAGACGATTAACAGAATCCTACGTGAAAAAGACTATAATATGTTTGAGTGCTCCTATGCGCACCCGTTTCCCAAGCTTTTCTGAAGCAAGCTTTTTTATGGTTTTGTTCAGCATTTAATGCTGCATTCAATGATATATAATGGGGTTATCAACAATAACTTTTAAGTGCACTATATAGTCAAGTTATCCCGTATATAGCTCTTGTATAAACCGTATAAGAGATATCACCTGGTTTGCAGGAAAAAAGTGGAAGATTCGCAGAAATTTTTATTGATTCATCGTTTTGTATTAATTTCGTTTCGAACTATATATAGTTAATAGGGGTTTCACTATGATTTCCAAATAGGGCCGTTTTTGCTAGCATATCCACCCCCGTCCTTTTTATGATTCATGCTTCAAATATCAAACTATTAGAAAATGTTTGATTTCCTGCAGAAAATTGAAAACTGAATATCATCAGTTTACTTTCAAGAACGGAGAAATTCATCTCCGAATTCGTATAGACTTTCCGAAAATAACAGTGTAGGTGCTTTGTTGCTTCGTTTTCATTTCAACATTCATTTTTAAACCTCCGCAAAGTCACAGGAGGATTTAGTTACTAATTCTTCCATTCTGAATACCTGTTCCTCTTGATACTATGTAAATTAATACTACTTCTTTTTTGCAAAGGCTGTCAGAGTTTCGACTCCTTGTTTCTTGCCCTCTTCCTTTACAATGTTAGCCCATCGTTGCGCGCTCACTTTGGACCATAATTCTTGGTAGTTTGGAGGAAAAGCCCCTATACTGCCAACAATTCGGATTATTTCAAAGCCAGCGCCTTGAATCATATTTCCTAAAAGTAATTCTGTCCAGGTATATAAATGGTTGTTCAAGTCATGTCTTTTGTAAGACCAATTTTGTTGTTTCGAATAATTGGATGCTGACTGACGTCCTTCGTTTTTCACTTGAATTTCCAGCGTTGAACCAGAACGCATTTTAGAGTATAATTGTCTTAGGAGTATCAGCGGAGCTTCAACGTGTTCTAAAACAGCAACTGAGTACGCGTAATCAACTGAATTATCTGACAATTCTGCTATGCAGCGGAATGTCGTTAAGTTGTATATTTTTTCAGCATACGCTCTCGCGTATGAATTGATTTCCACACAAAACTTAGTTGCACATTTGATGGTGCTTAATACAGCACCCGCTGAACACCCGATCTCCAAAACAGTATAGACTGGTTTAATACGACCCATCCTTGTTGGGTCAGAATGGGAGGCTTGAAATAGTTGATGTTTAAGTTGCCATTTAAAATAGGTAACATTGTAATATTCTTCGTATGGAGATTTCGGACCACAGACATCATTTAGCGTTCCTACTTCGGGTCGCGACCATGCTTCCGTATAAATGCCGCTGATTATCTTCATGATCGAATGTTTTGAATCTCTTTTATTATTACAGCGAAGGATCAGATAAACATGAAAAATAACGAGCAGCAAACAGCTAAAAGTTGTCCACAATTTAACCGAACGATGGTATCTCATTAACAATCACACCAAAATTGCTTCTAAAAAACACGCATGTTCCAACAAGTAAAGCGACATAATCATCGGCAAGCCTCTACGAAAAGGATATGATCCTATTAAACACATGAATCCGACATGCGCAACTGAAAATATGAGGGTGTGGGTGTGTTACACTGTAAAAAATAAATGTAGAATAGTGAACGCCTAATTGGTTCATTAAATTGCAACGTGTAATAAACCCTTTTAGCAGTATGAGAAATCCTCCGAAACCCTTTCAAAGGTTTATTAGAGCGCTTCGGAGAGCAATAAACGCTTTCTTAAACCCTTTTAAAGAGTTTAGTAGAGGGCTTAGGAAATCAATGAAGCCTTTTAGGGTTTATTATACGTTGCACTTTAAGGGCCTCACTCTAAAAACTTTTTTTTCTACGCATTAGATTTCCATGAAATTTCTGGGATCGATGTAACTATCCAGTATAGTATGCCACAGTAAAAATTTTAACTCGATACATTGAGTCTTCAAAGAGTTAGCTAACGATTATAGGTGGAAATATAGGTGCCCATCGTCCTTGAGTTCTCAGCCAATTCAAATTCTAGGAAGCTCGGATTAGTTTTAAAATGTAACCACGAGGTGGGGCTACAGCTTAGCAGGACCCGATTGTAAAATTAACTCCTAGTTTAGGCTTTGGACAAGTTCTCCCGCAAAATTCTAAAAAATCAGGCGGATTTTTTCAGGCCTTTTTTAGGTTTTAAAAAATAATCACGATTAGATTCGAAATTCGGACTCTGTTAAGCTGCAGCGCTGCACTTGGCCTACATTTCAGCACCCATCCCAGATCTCTAGCGTTTAAACTGGCAGAGAAATCTGGAACTCACGAAAGCATAAAATCCAAAAATCTCATTTTGAGAAAAACGCAAAATAAGTTTCAACACTGAAAATCAGGCTTTTTTTCTCTATAAATTAATCTAAAAAGTTTATAGGAGTAATTTCCAATATATCAACGATTAGGATGCATCAAATAAACGCGTATAAAGATTTAAAATGGATTTTTTTTGTTATCTCATGGATCTATAACGTCGAGCAAAGTATTATTAAAATCATCTGTTTGAAAGCACGCATAAAATCATCTAAAACGACATGTGTCGTGTATAATTAGCATGTTCATATTATCTAAAATAGTTCAAACCATGTTATAATCATCGTTATTGAGAATCTTAGGAATCAAAGTTTAGTAGCAAGTATGAGAAAATTTAAAAAAGCTGGTGTGAGTGTGTTTTCACAAAAAGATATACATCCATACCCACACACCCTGTTTCACTTCAGGCTGAAATGAAAGTTTTGCAATACGTCTTTTAGCTACACGGAGCTTTGAAATAAAGGCACCTGCAGGAAAATGAAGAAAAATAAACATTTTGACGGCAAAGTGTGTTGCACATTACTTTATTTTTGAAGAAGACGGAGGACGGCAGTTTTACGATTGAAGCCAACACCCAAAACTGCATTTACCGATGTCTGTCACGCGGCATACGTAACTGATTTTGCATAATGTGGCCGAAGCCCCGAGGGATAATTCATCGTGGTTTTAGAAGATTTCACTAGTTTATTATTCAAAATTTGCCACACAAACTCCGATCATAATCCGGTATAATCTGGCATGTTCTCTATGAGCTTTCTGCCAAGTGTCGTGATTTTAGTATTATATCACTCAAAAAGAAAAGTTAAAGCTCTTCAGTTTCATTAAGTAGATTTAATATAGTTATAGCAAAGTTTCCTGTATTATATACATCGATCGGCATATGCAAATTGGATTAAATATTTTGTAAGACTCTTTTGAAATTCGAAAATTGTAACCTTTATTTGGTTTCCTTACTGGTAGTATGGACAAGAGACTGTTGTGGAGTAAAAGACCGTTCCGACAAGACATTGGAAGTGTTTTTGTAAGATCAAGAAAATTTATTTTAGTTCTGGCCTTAGTAGTAAGCGTTAGCTTCTGCTAATGGAAATTTATGGCACTGCAGCATGAAAAATATGCAGCCTGTATGGAAAGCAGAGAAGTATCACTCTAAAAAAAATGGTATTCTACTGAACCTTAAGAGTTCAGCATTTGTATACCGAACGATTTTAGGTTCAGCAGAATGAAAATCGTTCTGTTTCTTTCAAGCAAAACTATTTTAAGT